TGAGATTCACCCACATTTTGTGCTTAATTGTAGCTTGTTCATTCTATTGAGTTATCTGAATATGCTACAATGTATTTATCCATTGCATAGTAAATTTGTTATTTTTATCATATGTATTTCTTCCCAACATTTTGCCACATTTCCTTTATCATTCTCTCTACACCCACACATCATACATTCGTATACTCATTTATTTACATTTCCAAACCATTCGATGTAATTTGCAGGGAACATAACCCTTTACCTCTAAAATATTCAAAATATGTATTCTAAAAACAAGGATATTCTCTTATATAATCGAAGTGAAATGATCAAATTCAAGAAATTTTATCTTGCTACAGTCTTTTATCTAATATAAAATCCACATTCAAATTTTACCAGTAGTCCCAATAGCGTCCTTCATAGTAACTCTCTTCCCCCACCCAGCATCCAATACAACATCACACTTTGCATTTATTGCCATGTCTCCTTGGTCTCCTTTTTTAATCCTGAATAGTTCTTCAACTTTTCATTATCTTTTATGAAACGGACATTTTCAGAGTCAACTCACTTTTTATATTTAAAAAGAAAAAAACCCTAGACTTCTTTTAACCTTATTCTATTTCTGCAGTCATGTTTTTTTTTTTTCAAGCAAGCACTAATACATGTAATTGATTATTTTGATCAAAATATTTAGTTGAGTCTAAATAGTATGGTCAAAACTGTTTCTGAAATAATATGATAATTTGATGTAATCACAAAAGATCAAGCTATTTGGGCAAGCTCACCTTAAACTCAGAAAAGCCTCTAGCTCCAAAACCAGTAAATATGAACCTCCAAATTTAGATCATTTTCATTGCCTTTAATCTAGTCAAGGAAGAGCTCACAGGTCTGTTTGTGGGTTATTTAAACTTAGCTACCATTCACTCTAGAACAATAACAAAGGCGAGATGTTCACTGTCAAAAGATATGTACCAACCACCACAATCTACTGACACTGACTGCTTCAATACTTAGAATTCCAGTTCAATTTAGTCCAACATTCATTTATTGAATGTCTACTATGTGCCAGGTACTGTGCTAGGCTCTAGGAATATTCAGACAATTAAGACATAGTCCCTGCCCTCAAGAATGAGCAGTAAGTATAGTGAAAGCTATACATATACACATATATCTATATAACCCATATACCATACTTATATAGAATGAAGCTTCTATGTAAAATAGATATGTAAAAAAACAAACAAACAACAACAACAAACAAAAAACAAGTATACGAAGGGAGCACTAGAAGAGCAGGTCTGATATGAAGGACAGGTGACATGGGACATCAGGGAAGGCTTCATAGAAGAGGTGTGGCCTGAAGTACATCTTAAAAGACACATGAAGTGTTTGCCAAACAGAGGATTACAGGGTGTGTGTGTGTGTGTGTGTGTAAAACAGGGGTTGTGGAGGGCAGCACAGCTGAGCAGAGAAGACAAGCTGTGGGGTTTGATGCTGTAATATAAAGAACAAGACAGGGCAGGGGCATATCTCAGGTTTCTTAATGATATCAAGGAGCTTGGATGATGTCTTGTAGGAAAAGAGCCTTTGATTAATCTTGATTAATCAACTTGTCCACAAGTGTAGAAAGCTAACAGGTGGCAGTATTCTAACTGGCAGTATTCTAACTTATGCATCACACAATGTAGGTATTATTTTCCTAAATAGCAGAAAGGTCATCAAATTTCTATTTTTAAATAATCTAGCCATTTTTAGGGGCATGAATTTAGGTGGGGGAAAAGAGTGTGGACAGGGAAACTTGTAGTGGGTTAGGTGAGAGATGAGGAGGTTGTGAATCAGGGCTGTCATGGAGGTGACAGAATCAAGAAATAATCTGGACATAAAATTAGCAGCAACTGGTGATTGACTGGATGTGGAAGAAGTTGGCCTTCATAGTTGGTGATGCCAGCAAGCAAGACAGCAAATACAGGAAAAGCCTGTTTAGGGGAGGTGAGGGGCAGAGTGCACAGAGAAAAGAGGATATGTGTCTGGTTTTGGTATGTTGAACAGAAGGTACCCATGGAACATTCAGGTGGAGATACCTAATCGGAAGTTCTGGGAAAGGAGTTAAGATTTAGAAGTTATCAGCATATGAATGGAAAGTGATGGGTTAACAAGTGATTGCCCAGTCAGAGTGCAAAGAAGTGAGCCAGTGACAGACCAAAGAAAAAACCAATATTTAACAGAGTAGGTGGAGGAAGTCCAAGGGTACTTTAGTTGGACACTAAAAGCAAAATGACATAGTGATATATTGTCCTTCCGTGATGGAATTAGCCACTTCTTAGAATATCTGTACTTGATCTTTGCACTTTTAAAGATCATTTAAATCTACTGTTTTTCAATATCCCTTGATCAGAAAAACAATTTCTGTTTATCAAATATTTAATTTCTGCCCTCTGAAGTCCTTCAGATAACCCTTCAAATGAAGGCAGATAACTGTGACTCAACTCAGGTCTCTCCTCTTGGCTGAAACATTCTCAGTTCCTTCAACATATGATCTTCAGCCTTCACCTCTGGAGATCCTCTCCTGTGTGTGTACACTGCAATTTGTCAACTTGCCCCAAGTGTAGAAAGCTAACGTGTGGCACTATTCTAACTTATGCACAGTACAATGTATTGTTTTTCTAAAATCAACTTTATGAGCAGCCACATTACACTATTAGCTGTTTGAATGTATAGTTAACTAAAATGCACTGCCCTCCCCTCAATGTAAACATGTAATCAACTCTTCTTTCCCAGCCTGTACTTCTACAGTAGATTTTTGCTTAGCCTAATAGTAGTTTTCACATTTCTGTTTTTCTTCACTCATATAAAAAGCTTTCTTCTTGTTCTTTTCATCTTGGGGGGAGGAAATGGCCAGGAAACCTGACAGTAGAAAAAAAAATGTAAACAAATATGTAGTGACCATCAGACCAGGGTGAATGTCAAGAATGGACTGTCCTGAAACTCCAAACCTGTGGTGAATGTTTTGATCCAACTACAGGATTCTGGCTCTACAAATTTCAAGTTTAACAAGAAAATGGATAAAGATGAGTCATATGGTAGCCATTGTCTTTCTGACTGGTTAATTCTATTTTCTTTAATTGCTTGTACATTGCATAAAACTGCTTTCCCATTTTCTTCTGAAATCTCTAAATGATTCAATTCAAAGTTCATGTTCCTTTGGTGGCAGTGGACAGGGCCTCAATCAACCCTGAAAGATTCTCTCTTCAGCAAATGTGAAACAAATGGAAAGAAAAAAATCCTCAACATTTAGATGTGGCATGGGATTCAACCTCAAAAAGTCGAGTACCATTGCCACATATCTTCAGCTGAAGGCCAAGGATGTGAACTCATAAAAGAGGCCAGCCGCTTAGTTCTGGATTTTGTGTTTTTCCCCAAAGAGCAAGGATTGCTGCATCCATTCTTTGTGAAGCCAAGATATTAGATTGGTTCTCCAGTTTCCATGTCCTTGAGCATCTTCCCATTTGTGTCCCATTAATGGACAGGTGCTTCCTGTTCCAGTGTGACTGCTGGAGCCAAACGGCTTGGGGTTTAGATCTTGGCTCCACTATTTACTGGAACAGTGACCTTCAGGAACATTAACCTGTCTGTAAAATGGAGTTAATCACAGTATATACCTCAGGGCTATGAGGAAGAGTTAACAAGTGTAAATCACTTAGAAGAGTGCCAAGCACATATGCATTCAACTAGTGTTAGATATGATTTTTTTTGGTGTTCCTTGGTCTGAAATCAGTTTTGATACAGGTATTGGTCCTGCTTTAGTTCCCTCGGTACAGATAAATCAGAGGTGAGCAAGTTAATTATTAGCATGTAGACAGATGGTTAAAGTTATAGGCAACATAGTAGAAAATGATTGTTATGGTCCCAAAATTTCTATCAATTGGGAAGACAAGGCAATTTCCTCCTGTATACACTTTATTTACACATGCTAAATCTCACTGAACATATCACACTGTCAGGGAAGATGGCTAAGAGCATTAGGGTTGTCAGGGTAATTCTAGCTTCTGGCCTTGTTTTGCACCATGTAAATAAATAGCCACGGGCAATATTGGGGACAAGGAGGTAAGGGGTGAGGTGGAGACAGTGTGGCAGAGTTTGCAGTGAGGAAGGCAGGCAGGCAGCAGCAGTTCTAGCCAATCAACACTTTATTTTTCCAGTCAACACCTGCAGATGTTACTATCCACTTCCTGACCATAGTAGGGGGCCCCGCCACTCTTGAACTACCCATGGCCTAGAGAAGCAGGTCTCCTTTTTTCCCCTGGGGGTAGCTAGAAAGCCCCTCATCCCCACAAGACAGAGCTCCTGCTCACTAATGCAGTGCTGGTGCATGTGCTATGGGATCCCGGCTCTGCTCTTCTATCACGAAAGGCTGAGATGAACCAGGCCAAAGGTGCAGTGGAGGTTCCACTGGCTAGTGACCTAAGTGCTCAACTACTGGCCTGACTCACCACCTCAGGTTTAGTCTGTACCTCTGAGACAGGAACCTCCCTAAAGTTCAGCCAGGAAAGGAGGAGCTGGCAGAGTGGGGACTGAGCTGCTAAGGACAGGACACAGCAGGGAAATAAAACAGAGAAGAGTGCAGGACAAAAGAGAGCAATGATAAAGTGCCTGAACTAAACAACCAAGTGGGACACGAGGACAGAGCAGCAAAGGTCCCTGAGGATAGGAGGAAAAAGAAAGGGACAGACCACCAGGGCTTGGGGCAGACTGGAATGAGAATAGAGATGAGGCAGGGAGGCAAATGCAGGCTGTGGGAAGGACTCTCCTAGTCCTGTTTACATCCACTAACCCAAATGTAAAATTATTTACAAACTTAAAACCTATCCCAGGTACTGTACCAGGCCCAGGACAGCAGGCAGGCAGGCAGAGGGTGGACTGGCTACCATCTGACAGCCAGCTTCCCCACATATTGCCCCTCCCATAGTAG